AGTATTTTACATGTTTAAATGACACTTTTATTTCTCATACTGATATAATGGTGGGGGGCCCGGGGGGCAATGCCCTCCCGAAAATTTTCTGGGGTAATGTAAACTCAGTTTTACGCATATAAACTTTGAAGCAGCTGCAGTACTTGACTATGTAAACAATCTTTAACCCACAAATGAGTTCATTTTAAAGATGGACATCCACTATGCAACTTTGTTGCAAGTACTTTTGATGTGGTTGTGCAACATGTTGCATGAAGTAGAGACTCTCTCTACTTCATGCAGCATGTTGCCCAACCACATCAAAGGTTTGACCACAAGTTGCAAGCAACAATGCTGCATAGTGGATGCCCACCTTAACAGGCTTAGTCTTCATAATTTTGACTTTCCTAAATTATGGGCAACACACTTTAAAAAAAATTATAACTGCTGCACTTTACTTGTTATACTACTATAGCCTACTGATTAGCATCATATTCCTGTAATAGGTCTATAGTTGTGTTTTATAACTGACAAAATATACTTTCACTTTTCTTGTTATTACCTATGACAATAACTTTACTTCAGTTTGTAACAACATAAATGCCACTATTGTAAACAAATATTGTTATTTAAAGAAGTTTGTATAGCTCTTTCACTTCTGTTTGTTCTACCTACAAACTTTTGATAATTTGTAAATGCTAGTAAAATTTTGATATGTTTAGACAACACTGTCTGTATGTAGATGCATGTTATTTATTGATGAGTATATTTGCTATTTGTCATGTATTGCTGGCAAAGGTTTACATTGATAGTTACTTTTGAGTTATTACTATAGCACGCTTTCCCTATAGTAAACATTGAATTTTTATAAAATCACTGGGAGAAATATTTTATAATAAATATAGTAGTCAGAAATGTATTCAATTGTACTTGCTTTCTCTCTCATTTTTTTGTCAGTTTCCAGTCAACGGATTAATATAACTAATGAATATGAGTTGGAGAAGTTCTTGTGTAATGAGATTCATTCACTGGATGATGATATTGTGCTGGTGTTATCTGATAGCATCACTCACTTCATTAGCAATAATGTATCATTTTGTGGAGTGATTAATGATACTCACTCACTGACACTAACCAGTGAGTCTTCAAAACAAGCTCTTATACAATGTGATAAGTCCAGTACACCACCAAACAGTGGGTTTGCTTTCACTAATATACACAACCTGACTTTAACCAGGTTAGTATTCACAGGCTGTGGTGAACAATTAAAGAGACTAGCTGCAATAGAATCAATCAATTCTAGTGCATCTCCAATGTATTTCTCACATAACCATTCAGCTGTTTTGGTATTTCTTCACATCAATACATTACTCATTGATGAGGTCAATATTACTAGCTATTTTGGTTTTGCTATTCTTGCTATCAATCCACGAAATGCATCAATTCATAACTGTAAAATTACAAATGGGACAGGTCTAAAAAAGGATGCTGGATCTGGTTTGTTCTTGCTCTTCACTGATTTCACTGGTGTACCGTTGCCTCATGATTGTAGTGTAACAATCCAGCAGAGTACATTCAACAGTAACTATCTGTACTACAATTCAAATACAAACTCTATTTGTGACACTTATCAGAAGCATAATCACGAGTATTCTCCAATTTTTAATGCTGCAGGTTTATCAGTTTTTTATCTTCAAAAAAAGTTTGCAGCCAAAGTTCGTGTGATGCAATCAAGTTTTGTTTCTAATCATGGGATTTTAGCTGGAGCAATCTTGGTAATATACTACAACAGTGTTAAGCAGTCACATGTTGCTATATCAAACTCTAATTTTAGAGATAACTATTCTAACAACAATTGCCCTGGATCTGACCTATCACTTATTTTTCACATTAGTGATCATAACAAGGCAAAACAATACAGTGGTCAGTTATTTCCACTTTATGTTTTTAATAGCAACTTTTCAGTTCATAGTTCATCAAAGGGAAATTCCCCAGGGATTATTTACCTATATATTTATAATCCGTCAAAAGGAATAAGTGTGACACTAAAACTCAGTGATGTCAATTGTACTTCAGTTTCAATAATAGGAACTGGGCCTTGTTTACATGCAGTGTCTGATATTGTTGATGAAAAATTTTTTAGTGGTCGAATTATACTCACAAATATCATTGCAATAGAAAATTATCAACGCAGCACCTTGTATTCCCATGATTACCAAAAAGGCATTTTTGTCATAGAAAACTTTGATTACATTGTCTTAAATGGAAGCAGTATTTTCTCTAACAATTATGGGTCTGCTTTTGGCATTTTAAACACAAAAGTGATGCTTAGCGGTCGATTACACTTTGAGAATAATACTGGGAACAGTGGAGCAGCATTTATGCTAACTGGTTTCAGCAGATTTGTTTTATATAATGGACTGGAGGCAACTTTTGTCAGTAACATTGCTCTCACTGATGGAGGAGCAATATATGCATACAATGGTATAACATCAGAGTGTATGTTCACACCAAGAGATCCTAATGGTATAAACACTATGCTGTTAAAATTTATCAATAACAGTGCTACTAATTCTGGTAACGCAATATTCAGCAATAATCTTTACAGCTGCTCAACAATGCAAAAGTTTGATCCTTCAGTTGCTAGAAAATTTTATCAAGATGTATCACATCATACTTTATTCAATGATACCAATGATCAACAAGTATCTACAGTTGCCTCTCAGAAAAATGAATGTTTGGATGATGCTAAGGGTATAATAGCTGTGTATCCTGGAATAACATTACATTTTCCAGTGACTATTCTTGATGGATTTGGTCAATTAACTGGCACTGATGTTTCACTAACTTTAGTTACTTTTGATTATATTCATATAAAATCGATGATATATTCTCCTTCAAAGAATTGGTACAATACTCCCAACATCATTACTTTACCACCTAAACACTGCACTATGATTAATGTCACTATTTTT